TGTTCTATGAGGACGTAAGGACAGTCACGAGTATTCAGAGGTATGTTTCAGCTGCTTCCAGGCTCATTTGTGGCTTTGTGTTAAGTACAAAATCAAGCCGTCGTGGTTGTAATCCGTGAAGAGGCCTGATTCACACACTGTGACTCTTTGTCACTGGGTTTAGACAGGGTCTACAGTTGTAGCTTGTGCAGAAGGCTGCAGCTGAGCAAACCACAACTTAATGGGATGGGGGTAGTGGTGGATTCAGCCAGTTCGCACCACTTCGGGAGAACCGGTTGTTAACTTTCTGAGCAGTTTGGTGAACTGGTTGTTGGAAGAAATCATTAGGGCAGAGAACCGGTTGTTAAATTATTTGAATCCCACCACTGGATGTTGCTTTTCAAAAGGCAGCTGAACTTTCGAACCAGGTTTTCAAAGAGGGGCCAAAGAGGCCATCTGTACTGAGATTGAACCGCCCTCCCTCGACAGAGAGGGAGGGATACAGCACTAGCTATCCCCTACCTACCTACAGCACCGTCTTTTGAGCAGTTCCAAGAAGGTCCCACATCCATTTGCCTCTGAGGACCCAGATAAACTCCCAGTGATTCTCAGAGGGAGTACTAATGACCAGATGACTACCAAGGATATAAATCCTTCCATTCCGCCCCATTCAGCCAGAACTGAAGAAGCTTCTTGGATGAGAAGCGAAATATCTTCAAGGAAAAAAACGGAAACCAAGGAAGTCCTGTTGTCTTTTTTGAAAAGCCATCTTTCAGACAGCCATGATCTGGATGACGGAGAAGCTCCTTGGGACCTAGATGTTGGTCTTAAGCAGTGGTGGACCAAAAATGGCCCAAAAAAGGCCTGGAAACGGCCCAGAAAACGGACTGAAAAACAGTCTGGTTTTTGGCTGTTTTTTTGGCCATTTTCTGGTGCTCCGGTGCCCACGAACACCAGCTGCCCAGTACTCATGTCCACACCAGAAACCTGAAGAGCAGCTGGTGACAGTGCACATGCCCAGAGAAAGGGCTCTACGTGCCACCTCTGGCCATCACGGCCCTATAGCGTTTCAGACTGTCAGTCTCTTCTTCAAAAGCGTTGGGAGCATTTACAACTTCTGGAGGCAACTTCTTGTTCCCCTGGTTAATTGTTCTCAACGTCAGGAAATTCCTCCTTCATTCTAAGAGAATCAGAAGGGACCTTGGAGATCAACCTTCTGCTGAAGCAAGGAGAACTTATCACATTTCAGTTCTCCAGTCTTGGTGGGAAGGGGCTAAACCTGAACAAATCATGACCAGTTTACTCTCCCGTGTTATTTCTGACACAGAGCTGGTTCTCCAGGTCGGTCCTAATGATTGAGAACTGCTAAACTCCGTGCAGCTTAAGTTGGAAGAAGATGACAGGAACCGTGGAAGAAACAGGAGTTCTTAATGAGCATAATTGCCGCACTTCAGGGGAAAATAGGAGAAGCTCCTGAGACAAGGGCGGATGTGAATTCAGGCCGAGACGTTTCTGCTGAAGGGGTATCCTGGAAACACCCAATTTTGGGGACGAGCAATGTTCTGCTGGATCCACCGAGGCCTTTCAAAAGAGAACATCAAGGCATGGGGTTTCCACTTTTAATTAGATGAACGCATTTGGCTTATTCAGAGCCAGAGGCCAATCACTTTGCTTGGGTTTCCAAAATGAAGCAATCGGTTGAAACCTCCCAGTCACATCCTCAATGGGAAGAGCAAATCCCATTGAGCCTAATGATGTTTACACCAAGGAAGTAAGTGAGGTTAGCTCTTTTCGGACCCTTAATTTCTTTTCACGATCGTGGTATTTGTTCACACGTCATTCCCAAAAAGCTTGTTTACTTCAAAACATCCCTACGACGCCCAGAGATTGCCAAGAGAGACAAATCCACTTAAGGTTGGCCTCACTCTGAGGTGGCCATTTTGAAAAATGGTGGTGGCACCTGAGGATAAGGCATGAAGAGGGCAAAGAAAAATGGTACATCTGCCCCTCTGGTTTCTAATGTCAAAAATGAGATTGATGTCAAAGAGCCTTGTTCCCAATTCTGAGCAAGACCTGGTAAGGTTCAAGAGCTAGGAACCTGATCATTGGAGAAAGGAAGCCTAAAACAACTATATTTGGGGTTTCTGTCCCAGTGTCCACCTCAGATTTTTTTGTCACTAGAAATGGCTCCCGAAAAGAAATATGAAAGCCATGTCAAACCAGTAAGTCTAAATGCCTTGATAGTTGAAACTAGTCACCATATATCAAGGGTCTCCAACCTTGGCAACTTTAAGACTTGTGGACTTCAACTCCCAGAATTCCTCAGCTAAGGAATTCTGGGAGTTGAAGTCCACAAGTCTTAAAGTTGCCAAGGTTGGAGACCCCTGCCATATATTATATTATGTGGGACTAGATGGGACCATCTCTGGTCCGAGATGTAGCTGTTCTTACTTTCTTTTGGTCTTTTGAGAAGAAGACTTCTCAAGAAGACCAAAACTACACTTTTGTGGTCCACTGGTAACAGTCCTACAAGGCAGTCCAGACCGAGTGGACAAATCCACAAGAAGAACTACACACTTTGGAGATGGGGCCTTCAAAAGGAAGTTTAAAAGGAGGAATATTTGACCATAATTAGAAATGTATGCGTTATCACAGCATATTGGATGTGATTAGTGTGTCTGACCACCACAGTATCTGAATTCCCACACCATTCTGGATCATAACTTAACCCCAAAAAGGCTGGAGTGCCATCCCTGATAAGCCACTCACACATGTGCAGAGACACAAAAGAGACCAGTCTTTACCAGGCATGGCTCAACATGTATGAAGGAAAGCCAGAGCACCATTTGTTGATGGAACAAATAGATGTTGACCAAAGCCATTAAGATTGAGTTTACCTTTGATCAACATCTATTTGTTCCATCAACAAATGGTGTACTGGCTGAGTTGATGCATTCACACAATATGAATTTGAAGTCCTGGTCTGTTTTGTGTCTGTCAGTACACAATTTAAATTGGTTTTTAGTCTGTTTTTAGTCTGTTTTAATTTGTATTTATTGGGACTGTTTCATTGATTTGAGCCTCCCTGAGACCTTCGGAGAGAGGGCGGCATATAAATCCAATATAATAATAATAATAATAATAATAATTTTGTTAATGGAACAAATAGGTGTTTTTGACCAAAGGTAAACTCAGCCTAAAGTCAAGATGTTTGGAGAACTTTGCTGAGGTGGCCACACCGATATCCAACCACATCATTGAGAAAAAGAGGGCGTCCCACTTAGAGACACCTGGAAGTTTTGCTGTGTGGAGAACAAGTCCAGGAGGAACTCATTTTGTTCCTCCTAGCCTTCTCAAAAACATATAAGATTAAAGGCAGGGTGTAACCCTGCACCTCCTCGTAAGACAAGATTGTGATCCCAACTAATTGCTGCAAACATGAGAAATAGGTTGAGGTTAATTATCATCTTGTGGGTGAGATTGGATTTCGTAGTTCAAAGCTTATCCTGATGGAAAGCCATGGGGGACATGAGAGTAAGAGAACAGGAAGACATGAGAGTAAGAGGACATGAGTAAGGGAACAGGAGCAGAGGTTCACAGGGGTTCGGGAGAATCTCTAGCTAAGATTCTGTGCAGTTCGGAGAACCCCCAAATCCCACTCCTGGCTGGCCCCGCCCCACCCCGCCCCACCCACCCCATCCCACCCCTCCCAGGAGTCCCCACGTGGCCCATTTTGGATGCAGGTAAGTGCAGGGAACGCACGGAGGCTCGGGGACGGTGAAAAATGGGCCTACTGGAAGTTCAGGAAGGCCAGAAATAGGCCCATTCCTGGCCTCCAGAGGGCCTCCAGAGCCTGGGGAGGCCATTTTTGCTCTCCCAGAGGCTTGAGGAAAGCCTACAGAGCCGGGAAGGGCAAAAACACCCCCCCCCACCGTAGTGCAGGAGGCCAACTAGGCCACACTCACCATGGCCACACCCACCCAGCAATTGGGCAGAGGACCCCTTACTAAAACTTTTGAAGCCCACCTCTGAACAGGAGGAAGAGTTGAGGTTGGGTTAGATAGGCTAAAGGCCTCTCTGGTTCTCTTCCGTCCCTTGGTGGACCAAACAAAAATTTCTCACAAGGAAGGTATGAAGGACCTCAAAACTTCTCGCCTTGCCAAGAGAGAAGGACTGGCCCGAAGTCATCAAAGGAATATCCATCGTTGACGCTCTGGATCTCTGTAAACTTCATTCATCACCTTAACCACTCCACCACACCAGCTTTCATACTATTGTTAAATTATTATTTAAATCAGATAATAATGTTACTACATTCTAATAAACTACACCTCCATAACTCACTCTAAACCATGATGTTTATTTATTTGGTTGGACAAGTTTGCGTTAGGAGTCAGTACTTAGTATGAAGGCTATAGTAGTTTATTTAAGGCTCAGCATGGTTTGGTTGATTAGATTCTTTTCCCAGGGAAACAAATCTGATTTGATCTTTCTATGTGTATGAACTCACGGGAACAGATTTCCAGCATTGGATCAATTTGATTCCAATTAAAAATTTAATTAGTCTGAATTGGTCTGATTTGGAGATCTTACTTAAATTGAACTGATTTGCTGAGTTGGGGTGAATGTTTAGATCTTCCAAAGCAACTCAAATATTCAAACTGAGTCATATCCAGTGGTGAAATCCAAATTTTTTTACTACCTGTTCTGTGGGCGTGGCTTAGTGGACATGGCTTGGTTGGCGTGGCAGGGGAAGGATACTTCAAAATCTCCATTCCCAACCCACTCTGGGTCCAGCCAGAGGTGGTATTTGCCGGTTCTCCGAACTACTCAAAATTTCCACTACTGGTTCTCCAGAACCTGTCAGAACCTGCTGGATTTCACCCTGGTCATATCCCCTTCCCACACTTATATGAGAGGGCTCCAAGTTTTATTTATTTATTTGCAATTTGTAAATAAATATTTCTCCTGCCACCAGTCAACTTGAAAGGATTTAAGAGAGAACGCAAACAACTATCAGCAATTTAGAACAAGCTTTATTTGGCGTGAAAATAAAGAATGTGACAACACCCAACGCAAAGTGCAGATTTCTCTAGGCGAGATGAGTTACGGAATGAAGGACAATGGCATGTAGAATGGAGCTAGCAAAAGTTGGTATAAATTTGTGAAAACCGGTCCTTTGTGGTCTCCAAAAATCTCTTGGATAACCCACCCATATCAGTTCAATTGCACTGAAGAGAGGAGAGTTTTTGTGAGCATGTTTGAGAAGGTGGATCTTGGATGTTCTGGATGTTTCTTCTACAGTGTGGTGGAATGTGGTCTGGATTCCCGGAAAGGAGCGGGTGCATTCCAGAGGACCAAGAAACAGCGACAGTTTAGTTGGAAGGAAGAGTGTTAAGGTGGCTCCTCCCTAGAGAATTTCAGCGCATATCTCTATTGATGCCTGCAGTTACTTCAGTTTGGCAAGATTCTGTCTACAGACAATAAAGGAAGCTGCATAGTAGTAACTCTGCATGCCTTTAGCTTAGCTTGGAGGGGGCCTGGCAAGAGCGAGTTAATAAAGGCCACAATCATTGCAACAGCCAGAGCTGCGTCTCCGACATCCTGAAGAGTAGTGCGATTCGGAAGAGAATCTGGAAGGGTCACAAGAAACAGGTCGACAGCTGTAGCGTCGGCGGTCTGCGTAGCGTGGCTGATAGGAACTAGGAGCGGAGCTGTAGCCGCACGGATCGCTGCTGTACCCACAACGATAGGTATAGCCACGGGAGGGATAATAGCTTCTGCCATAGTTGGAGGGATAGTTATAAACACATGGCTCATAGCATATTCTACCATAGGTTGGAGAATAGCTATAGTCACATGGATCGCAGTATCTTCTACGATAGCTGTAGAGGTATGCCAATCCATATGGATCAGAGCTTCTTTGGACACCCCTAGAGAGGTACCCATAAGTGCATGGATCAAAGTATCCTTGATTGCTGTTGTAGATGTACTCATAATTACATGGCTGATAGCCACTTCTCCAATAACTGGGTGAGGAACTATAGATGCGGGCCGTGGACGGGTCAGAAAGAAAGGAATTGGGGCTAAGGCCATACAAGTTACGGTATCTACGTGGTATGTAGCACCTGGCCGCAGTGCCAGCTAAGGAGCTGTAGGGTGGGCAGATGCTGGGATTGGAGCCAGTTGGCTTGTAGATGGTTGGTGGGCAATAGAGAGCTTTGGTGCCACCAGAAGGATCACTGCTCAGGATGGTAATGCCGATCATATTTGGACTGAAGGACATCTGGAATTCAAAACACAAGGTAAGATGAGGATGAGAGAAGGTCCCTTTTCATTCCACAAGTGGTATGTTTGTTTATTTATTTATTTATTTATTTATTTATTTAAAGCTTCATCTGGCCGCCCACCTTAAACAACATCTGAGCATCTCACAACCACAGTCAAACCAGTAAAACTCTAAAACCACCATAAAATGGTCCCCAGGTTCAAGAACACTGATGTCTACAGCCCATCCTCACATTTGGTGGTCTCTACCAACTATACGTCAGGTCTTGGTGATACAAGACAGTTTGGTTCTCCTAATCACCCTCAGATCATCGATGAGGTGAGCTTTATTGTAGGTCCACTTATGGAAACCAGGTTTTGAGGCCAAGCACTGAGGGCCAAAATGCAGCGTATCAAGCATGTCGTGATGGACCCTTCCTCAATTTTCCTTCCTGCGTCTCTTTTCCTCCCCCTCTCAATCACCACCACCCCTCTCTTCTTCTTCCTGGCAATACAAATCCCACCGCTGATTTTAATGATAGCAGTAACCGTCTTATTAAGGGGGTGTGATGATCCGGGACGTGGCACACAGCCAGAGAATAAGTATGAGTCCCTTTATTAGCTGCAACTTTGCCTACAACGTCCCTTTTACTCTCCGGTCTGGAGAAAAACTCTCCCACAAACCTGTAACAGCCTTTGGCTGAAAATACTCCAGTCCAAGCGTTATAAGCAGAAAACTTCCAACTATAAATCCAACAAGGCAAGATAAGGTAATTAATCCGGCAGGGCAAGCAAGATAAGGAGTTCCAGAAGTGAAGTAGCACGGCAGTAAATCAAACCAGTTGGGAGGATGCCGGGAACTCAGATAAAGCAGTTAACACGAGATGAACTCAGCGTTTGTCCCTGACAACTGCCCCTCCTATTTGCCTCTCCTTTAAACTCCATCCCCAGGTGTGCCTTGTGAAGGGAATCGGGGTCCTTTCCTCCCTCATAAGCCATGCCATGCAACCCACAGTGCACTCTTTTCCATTCTTCCCTGCGTGCCCTAGGATGAGGAGGGGTGGGCCTTGGTCTTCATTTGAACCCCCTCTCCCTTGTTCTACCTCTCCCCTGCTCTGCCCAGCCTGACTTTGCCCTTCCCCAGTTTTCCTCTACAGCCAATGGAGCCACTCTCTCGCTCTCTGTCAGCTCTTCGTCTTCCATCTCAGAGTCAGACTCCAATGGGGGCATGACAGGGGGACTTTTGCAATCTCCTGGCTTAATACTGTTCCTCCTGGACCACGACACACCCTCCGTTGTGTTCCCAACCATCTACAACACGGTGAATGCTGCGCCTCAAATTCGATATTAGAAGGAAGTTGGCTGAATTCCAGTTGCCTTGTGGGACACTCTAGGATTTGTTCCGGGAACGCTGAGTTTACAATCTGATGTGGAAGCCTTTGTTGTTTTTTTCTGGGATGGTTTAAAAAAAAAAAAAAATCGAAGCACTATTTAGTCGCAAGGATGGACCGAGTAAGCAAACTCTGGAAATTGCTTTTCAGATCCCGCGAGTTTGTCTTTTATCTACCTATCTGTGTATCACGAGTTCTGCCTATCTCAATCTCTAAAGGCTGCCTCATTATACCCGTGTCTTGTTATTTCCAGGCTATTCATCTGTTATCTGAGGAGGACGAAGTTAAAAGTTAAAACATCCTAGATCTGGAGCAATATAAGAAACGGGAAGCGGACGGTTTTGAAGGATCTCACTTCCCAATTATTATTAAGATGTGAACTGGGTGGACAAAGCTTAAAGCTTTTCTGAAATGAGCCATGCCGTTTGCAGTTAAAACATGTCTCTTTGGAAAGGATGTGGATTTTAAAAAACATTTAAGTTGTTGAGAAAGCAAATTATTGTCAATAGATTTCATTAGCAACAAAAAAAAGCCTTCCTTCCCTTCCTTCCTTCCTTCCTTCCTTCCTTCCTTCTTCCTTCCTTCCTCCTTTCCTTCTTCCTTCCTTCTTTCTCCTTCTTCCTCCCTCCCTCTCCCCTTTCTTCCTTCCTTCCTTCTTCCCCTCCTCTTCCTTTCTTCCTTTTCTTCTTCCCCCCTCCCTCTTCCTTCTCCTCCCTTCTTTCCCTCCCTCCCTCTCTCTTCCTTCCTTCCTTCCCTCCATCCCTCTTTCTTCCTTCCTCCCTTCCTTCCTTCTTTCATTTCCCTTTCCCTCTTCATTCCTCCTCCTTCCTTCCCTCCCTACCCTCCCTCTTCCTTCCTTCCTTCCCTTCTTCTTCTTCTTTTTCTTTCTTTCTCTTTCCTTTATCTTTTTCTATCTTTTCTTTCTTTCTTTCTTTCTTTCTTTCTTTCTGTCTCTCTGTCTGTCTGTCTTCTATCTCCATCTGTCTGTCTGTTTTGTCATCCTGTCTATCTATCTATCTATCTATCTCTCTATCTATCTATCTATCTATCTATCTATCCGTTTGTCATCATCTCTCTCTCTCATACATGCCATTTAAAACACAGGACTTAAAGTCGAAGACAAATAGCTATTCTCCTGCTGAACACTTTCCTACAAACAAGAGGCTGAAATTCACAGATTCTTCCACCCACCCACCCACCCCCCTTAAAAAAAAACGTTTTAAGGTCTGCTGCACCCCCACTGTCAGCTGAAAGTCTCCCCCAATGAGTCATTTTTGCCAAAACCCAACGAGACACGTTGTACCTACCTAGAGATCTGGATAAAGAGGCCAAATTTGAAAGAGGGTTCAAAGCAAGACTTCCCTTTTTCTCTGTATATATACACCTTCACCCGTAGCCAGAAGACTTCAAACTTTAAAGGGGAGAACCTAATTATATGCCAACTCCAGATGTTGCCCTCCTGCTACAAGCAAGTTTAATTACTTTGATAGCGGGTTGCTAGTCGGCAGCCTGTATATCGTTTTCCTCTTCCGTGTAATTTTCAACTTTTTAGCTCAGGTATATTGGGCTTCCTTACACCCTTCTAATTTTAAAGTCGGGGGAGAAAAGGTGATGTGCAAGCAGCTTTTTATTATATTAATTGATGCCCTGGATCTGCATAGTTTAGAGACTGCAGCCATGATATGATCCTAGGGACAGAACATGTTTTCTTCACAGGGTGAACATTGAAGAGATTCTCAATGTTTGAAGAGATTCTCAATCCTTCTCCCTTCTCCCTTCTCCCTTCTCCTTCCTTTCTCCCTCCCCCCTTTCCTTTCCTTTCCTTTCCCTTCCTTCTTTCCTTCCTTCCCTTTCCCTTCCTTCCTTCCCTTTCTCCCTCCCTCCCCCTTCCTTCCTTCCCTTTCCCTTCCTTTCTTCTCTCCCTCCCTCCCTCCCCTCCCTTTCCATTCCTTCCTTCCCTCCCTCCCTCCCTTCCCTTTCCCTTCCTTCCCTCCCTCCCTCCCTCCCTTCCCTCCCTTTCCCTTCCTTCCTCCCTCCCCTCCCTCCTTCCTTCCTTCCTTCCTTCTTCCTTCCATCCGTCTTCAAAAATTTGATTTCAAGAATACGGATTTCAAACTCCACATTGGACCCACTTTTCACATGGCATTCACTCTTTGGTTTGCATTATTCTATCCAAGGTAACATATTTTGGGATCCCAGCAGACGCACTTTGAGCAAATGAGAAAACTGAGGCAGAGGATGGGACTGAAGGCTGAGCAGCCCTTGGGTTGCACGCAATATTCTACCATCTATCGTGAAATGAAAAGTGGGAATTGAGAACTATTTGATATCGTGGATTTAGTCCGACTTTCAGTGTAATGTGTAGCCTTGCCCAACACGGAAGAATCCTGAGGGACCCGGTGTATTTCTTCTCCAACTTTCCTTCTGATTGCAAGTCCAATTCCTTGTGTGTCCAATCACACTTGGCCAATAAAATTCTATTCTATTCTATATTCTTCAGAAAACCATCAGGAAGGCCTGACACTCTTGTAAACCTGATCCATGCATGATTTGGACAAGACGTATATTTGTCTACAGCGTAATCCAACAGGAATGTTCCAAACCAACAACCCAATGATTAAAGAAATAATACAGTCTTTGGGGCCAGAGCTGTGATCACTTACAGAGCATGATTAAGTCAAAGGCATGCCTTTGAGAAATGGCAATTAGTCAACACCCCCGCCTGGATAAAAATAAGTAAATAAATTGAGAATCAAACCCTTGATGTCCTTCAAAGAAGAAGCCAACCACTTGGCCCTTCTCTTTAGAAAGAGATGTCACCTGTCTTTTTCCAACAAAGCAGAAGGTGTTACAAACTGTAATTAAATCTGGGTTTATCACAGCATTGTAGGTCTTGCTTTTAGGCCTGGGAAACCCCCCCCCCGGGGTGTTGGTTAATTAAAGAATGGCTTATTCTTTGCATATATCTTTTTTTATGGCATGGGTTGTGCTTTGCCTAAACAACAACAACCAAAAAAACAGATACAGGCAGAAGGAACAGAAGCTCCTGTTTTTCCCAAGAGGAACATCCGTGGCAAAACATCTTGAGATGTTTTTGGGTGATCCAAATAAGTCAATGGACACCAGAAAGCAGGGGTGAAATGCTACC